ATTTTAAAGCATGGTGATCTGATAAGATGCATGGAGTTATTCCAATTTTTTTGTAGCTGCTGAGGTTTGATATGTTGCCAAGTATGTGGTCGATTTTTGAGAAGGTTCCATGTGGTGGTGAGAAGAAGGTATATTCTTTTTTATGTGGATGAAATGTTCTATAGATATCTGTTAATCCCAGTTGGGTCATTACTTCTATTAGCCCTTTTGCTTCTTTGTTGAGTTTCTGTTTGGTATTCCTGTCTAGTGGTGAGAGTGGTGTGTTGAAATCTCCCACTATAACTGTGTGGGGCTTTAGATGAGATTTAAGTTCTAATAATGTTTTTTAACGAATGTGGGTGCCTTTGTATTTGGGGCATAGATGTTCAGAATAGACACTTCCTCTTGGTGGGTTTCACCTGTGATGAGTATGTAATGACCTCCTTCATCTCTTTTGATTGATTTTATTTTAAAGTCTAGTTTGTTAGATATTAGGATTGCTACCCCGGCTTGTTTCTTGGGTCCATTCGATTGAAAAATTTTTTCCCAACCTTTAATTCTCAGGTAATGTCTGTCTTTAAGGGTGAGGTGTGTTTCCTGTATGCAGCAGAAGGAAGGGTTCTGTCTTCGTATCCAATCTGCTAGTCTGTGTCTTTTTATGGGTGAGTTAAGGCCATTAATATTGAGGGATATTAATGACCAATGATTGCTCATCCTTCTTCGATTTGCGATGGTTGTTGTTGGTGGAATTATGTGTGGAATTTCACCCCTTTGTTCTTTTGGTTGTTGGTAGAGAGAGATTCTCTAATGCTTATGTTTTTCTGGTTGTAGTTAGCTTCCTTGGGTTGGAGTTTTCCTTCCAAAATTTTCTGTAGGGCTGGGTTAGTGGACACATATTGCTTGAATCTAGTTTTGTCATGGAATATCTTGTTTTCTCCGTCTATAGTGATTGAGAGCTTTGCCGGGTATAGTAGTCTGGGCTGGCATCCGTGGTCTCTTAGTGTAGGTAGAATATCTATCCAGGACCTTCTGGCTTTCAGCGTTTCCATGGAGAAAATAAAATCACTGTAATATGAGAGAAAGATGCAGGGTTTGCTGCATGTATTAAAAGGGTATCTGAACTAATCTGGGTTTAGATGGCTCTGAGGAGATGGTTTTGCCTTGAGGCCTTTTTATGCTTTGAATGTTAAGTTTTCCTAAAGGCTCATGTGTTGAGGTTTGCTGGCCAGTCTGTAGCCCTATTGAGAGACAGGAGAACCTTTTAGAGGTGGATCCTAGTTGAAATAAGGTAGGTCACTATGAGGACATGCACTTGAAGGGATCCCCAAAGATCCCCCACCCTTCTTCTTTCTCTCTTTTTGCTTCCTCACCACTATGAGGGGAGCAGCCTCTTGCCACAAAATGTACTCCCCCACCACAGGCCCCACAGTGACTGGGCCAAACATCATGTGAAACCTTAGAGACCATGAATAAAGTAAATCCTTCATTATGTTGATTGTCTTGGGCTTTTTTGCCATTACAGTGAGCAAGTGCAACATATATAAAGACTCCATTGAGAGGATGCTGTCATACTCTGGAAATCCAGGGAAGGCTGCTATAACTGGGGTGCAAAGCTGAGGCAAGAAGTGGGGGTGAAACGAGTCAAGAGCAGACCATGAAACCCCGCAAATCCTGCTAAGAGTGTCTGGTTTTCTAGGCAGGGGATGATGTAGCGTGTGCCAGGAGGTCAGCAGCAGAGAAGAGGAAACACAGACATGAAAGGGCTTGTAGGAGATAGTACCAAGACAGTTTGATACGCTCCAAGGCAGAGGAGGCGAGAGGAAGCATGTAGCTCACAGCTCTGAGATGTGACTTTTGAAAATGAAAATGCTGAAGTACAATTTTAAGCCAGATGATTTCTGTTGAAGTACACCTTGTTTTAAGCCACCCCAGGAAAAATGACAGCTTGCTTTCTGCTAAGAAATATCATTTTCTTACTATGCTAGTCATACATGTTATAGAATTGTGCAGTTTACTGATAGCAAATGCATTTGGGAAAGTACAAATTTAAGAAAACTTGGCAAGTACATTTTTATAACATTGGCCAGATTAATTTTGCTCTGAGCCCTGTCCCGGTAAGAACCCAAATGCCTTATGTCCTTGGCCCAATGCTATGGTGATCATCTGTCATGTAAGTTTCTTCATGTTTCTGTAAGTAATGAAAGTGGACTCTGAAGTAATTGTCTGGCACATAGCTGCATTCCAGTGACAGCTCTTTGGAATAAGCTCACTTTTAGCCATTTCTTATTTCCTTGGCCAGCCAAAGTCCTCAAATGTCAAGTTCTTCAGTATTTTTATTCTGAAGTTATTTGAAGTTGCAGTCTTTCATTATAACTTCTAAAAGTCACTTTAGCAATTTAACACTATGCTATAATAAATTTTAAGTATTTAGTTAAATAATTTTAATAACCCCAACTTTTTTCAGATGCCCACTAAAGAATCCATTATTCTCTGTGTTGCTAGGTTTGGAACACCAGCCCTCAGGGCCAACAAAATGGTAGAAACAAGAACAGTGTGCAAATGAGTGCAGGTTAAGTTCATTGTACTGTGGCTGTTGAACATTGCTACTAGCATACCACTAAGGGACAAACAGTATAGGTGGGTCAATGCCCTCTGCACAGCAAAGCTGAAGGAAATTTAAGCAAGAAAGTTCAGAAGTTGTTTAGAGATAGCAGTAGTAACTTACCTTTTGCCACCCTCTTCCTGGGGCAGTGTCATCAACATTTATTCCAGTAAAAAGCACACAAGGAGGAATAGGGATTTGGCGCTCAGTCTTTCTATGGGAATAATGAAGTCCCCTCCATCTGAGTCCTTCACCTTTTGTTACTGTCCAGAGAGGCTCAGTGAGGCTTAGCTGTTTATTATTAACTGTCAAGTGTATCACATTGTCTTCTACATGTGCTTATCCATTTTAATTGCTGAGAATTGTCACATGAAATGGAAATTTTGCAAGAAAAGAACAGATGATGAACTTAAAGGACAAAACATTGTGACTGTCCATGAGCCTCAAGAACATATTTATTCACTGTGTAAGCTTAGATAATTGACACAAGCCATTTGTGCCAAAGTTTCTTTATATATAAAATAGGAATCATAGAAATACTCATCCCATAACCGTGATGCAAATTAAACTAACACATTTTGAAGAATACTGCTTGGTACATTTAATTTCAAATATTAATGTTATTGATTTGTTTGTTTTTGCTACAATTGGTATGTTAGTAATATAGCCAGCTTAATCCTGCCTATACATGAGAGGTTTTAGTTCCATTCTAGTGGTAGTGGTAGACTTCCTCATTTGTGGGGGTGGGGCTAGGATGGCCTTAAAGATAAGGATACTTAGCTACTAAGTCCATAGTTCTCAACCTTCCTAATGCTGCAACCATTTAATAAAGTTCCTCACACTGTGATAACTCCCAGCCATAAAATTATTTCATTGTTATAACTGTAATTTTGCTACTGTTATGAATCATAATGTAAGCATCTGATATGCAGGATATCTGATATGTGACCCCAAAGGGGTTGCTGCCCAAGGGCTGAGAACTGCTATACTAAGTGGTATGAATCAGATGTTCTAAACCATTAACTTAGGATAACAGACTATAATTCCCAGGCCACCTTAGGCCTGATTTTGTGAGGCCTGCAATCTAAGAATGTGGGTTTTTTTGTTTTGATTTGCTTTTATATGGTTTTTTCTTCTTCTTCATATAGCTTCTCTCTATGTCTCCCTGCTGACCTAGAACTCTTTGTGTAGGCCAGATTGGCCTGGAACTCAGAGTCTATCTTTGTCTCCCAAGTGCTGGGATTAAAGTCCTATGCCATTATGCATAACCAGTGGGCTTTTACATTTCTGAATTATTTTGGGCAGAAAAAAACCTAAAAGATTATGCTTGTGACAAATGAAAATTAGACAGTTTGGTTTCAGTATTCAGGAAAAGGTTGGGGTTATTTTGTAGATATCCTTTTTATTGTTTTAATAGCAGAAGTAGTGAGAGACAGTAGGCATCTCAGAACCACAAAACTGAAAATCCTTTCTGAGCCTTTACAGAAGTTCTCAACATTTGCTTTGTGTGATCATTGATTGTGTTAACTAACAAATAAACTCATGATTTTATTTATGATAAAAGATGAGCATGTACATACAGAAGCATATGACTTTCACCAGCCATTTTTGTGCTCATAAAATTCTATTCTGTTTTTTCATTTATGTGTCTTGTGTGGTAATTTACACAGGAATGCATGTGCCTTGGGAGGCCAGAAGCATTGGATCCCCTAGAGCTGGAGTTATAATTTTGAGCTGCCAAATTGCTAGAAATCAGACTCGGGTCCTCTGCAGGAGCAAATAATGCTCTTAAACGATGAGCCATCTTTCTAGCCCCAGGAAATTTCTATTTTGATATGATTTAGAAAACTTTCTGTCTCGCTTAAGATTGCCTTGAAGTTAGAATGCAAGTTCATGAATAGTTTAATTCAGTTGTGCTAATATTGACTGAGTCCAAAGCCTTACATTTTCATTAGTGATTGTTAAGATTTAGCTTCTTCTCATTAATTATCAAGAGCAAAAGCTGATATATGAATGTATAAGTGTGTGTGTAAGGAAGTTTAAGTCTTTTTTTTATTTTTGCTCATGATAGAATTTGATGTAATCTAGCTGTAATTGTTTTTAGTAACAGCATGCCTTTAGAATATAGTAGTAGTAGAATCCTTTTCTGAAGTTACTAATTGTCCTGTTAAAGGCTTTGCCTTTATGACCCAGTTTAGTTTCAGGAGGCCAGAGCTGGAGGCTTTGAGCATTATGCTTAGAAGACATATGCTTCAATTTCGTCACACCAGTCAGTCATTTGAGCAAATAATCTTTGCTCCTGTCTCATCCTGTGTTTAACTATGTGGACTTTTGTTTATTTGGTTGATTATGTAACCTTTATAAATGGAAGAATTTTGTCCTAGAATATCTATAAAATCTTGTATCTTCTTTTCCTTAGGTTTATAAAGTTGATTTGTCAAATGTATCTGAAAGATGACTCTCAAAAGCCCGTGGAGTAATGGGATCGAGACAGATGTGAACCCTCCCTTGTGGAGTCTTGAGTCTGTTGAGGAAGACACACATTAAATTACATCAATATCAAGATGATCTATATTGGGAGAAAAGAACTAAATTGTACAAGGGCAACATAGCATCTCAGGACTTCAGCTCATCTAAGTAAGTCAGAATACTTGTCTCTTTAGATTATTTTTCTTTTGAATTTTATACTGATATTTTAATTGATCTGTTAGTAAACTGAAATTATTTTCAGTTTAGGAATAGTAGAAAGAGAGTAAGTTGATGAACTTACATATAATGTCATTTCAATAGAACTACAACGTACTAAATTTATTTAATGGCTGATAGATTTTGCATAGTTGATTTTTCTTGAAAGTATTGAGTATAATGTCACTGTGAAATTAGAATGATGAAGGCACAAAAGAATTTTTAAGTACTCTGTATATCTTACTTGAAAATCAAAATAAGTATTTCCCTTGAACAGAAAAGTATCTTAAAGTAGATTCTAGCTAACAGGCTTCCCCTCTCTTAAAATAGTTACTGACTGCTTTTAGCATAAAGCAAATGGTTGTTGAATGTATAGTTTTCTTATACAAATCTGGACACATGTGTTATATGGCATAGTCTATTGTCCCTAATCTACAAACCCATGCAACACATCACCTAACTGTAGACATTTAATACGATGCTATGTGTATATCTACCTTTGGAAAAAGTACAGGAAAAGTAAAGTTATATAGCGCAGCCGTCTGAATAGAACTTACATAACCTACCTGAAGGTGTTCCTAGTCAGCATGGAAATGGGGCATAAGAAAACCTGGCCTGAATGTCTCCTCTGATTGACTCTCCTCTAAGGAGAAACTCAGTTTACTTTTAATACTTTATTTCTTACTTTAGTTTATTCCCTTATTCTAATTAATTTATTAATACTACTACCTTTTTACTTTGTTAAATTTAAATTTTTTACACGTTACATGTGAAAGTCAAAGGACACCTAACAGGAGTTGGTTCCTCTTCCACAATGTGGATCCCATGCACTGAACTTGGGTCATGAGGCTTAGCCGCAGTCATCTTTACTTGCTGAGCCATCTCATGATGTTTTAGAAATTTAGTCACTCATGATAACTCTGTAAAGCACAAGAACATTAATAATACAGCTAAAAAAGTGTTTTAATAGTGTTATTCTATAAGCCTTTCCTTTTAATTTTTAAAATATCTTTTTACTTAACTATTTTGTTAAAAACTAAGACAAACACACACATTAGCCTAGACCTACACAGGATAAAGATCTCCCATAGTACAATCCTCTACTTGTACACTATGTCCCATTAGAAGGTCTTCAAGGACAATAACTCACACATACCTGTCACTCTTATGATAACAATGTCTTCTGGAATCCTTCCACAAAGAACTGTGCAACGATTCTGTGAAAGTAATATTTTGTTAGTAAGTAGAAGGAATCTATTCTGAAATAGCCATAAGTGTAATGTGGTAGATGCTGGACCCAGTAACGTCAGGATTGACTGTCACTACCAAGTCCTAGACATTGTATGACTGTGTATTGTCTCTACAGGACTTGAGCAGGTTTCTTCATACCAGCTCACTGCAGACTCTGTGCTATGGTTTTTCTAGGAGATAGTCATGAAACCTGTGGTGGTTCATCTTCAGCATCAACCTGATTGGATCAAGGATACCTAAGATATTAGTAAGGCTCACTTCTGGGTGTGTCTGTTGGGCATTTCCAGAGATCACTGGATCATGAGGCCTTGACCTAATGCACGACAATTCCTTTATTCATGATACAATGACACTATTGGGAGGAGGGCTACATGGAAGGTGCCCAGGTCACTGGGACTTGTCCCTGAGTATTATATCTTTCTCTTGCTCCTTCCTGTAGTTTTTCCTGAGCACTAAATTGTAAACTTCTCTGTCCTATCATTCCCTCCCAACCATGAAGCAATTACACCTTTGAAATCAGAGCCAAACAGATCCTTCCACCTTTAACTTGTTTTTCTCATGTCACAACACAAGAGCTTGCTGACAGAGACCCACTGTCATGTATGGTCTGTTGTCAACCTGCTGTTATCCAGTACATGTATGTATTATGTACTTAGAGTTGTGAGCAAATATTGCACACAGAGAGAGTATACACACATACATGCATACATACACACACATACACACACACACACACATACACACACACACACACACACACACACACATACACACACACACTGGACACAGAAAAGGAGGAAGTACAGTGAACCCAAGCCCTATAAGTCGTCTCTGTTTCTGATTTAGTATTTCTGGGATTGTGACAACTGTTTTTCTTTCTCTAAAACCTAGTTGGAATTTGCCCAATGTCCCACAACCTCTTGAGATAATCTTGTGGATGCCTTTCCCTGTCAGTACTTACTGAGTACTGTTTCTGTAGTTTCTCATCATTCCTGTTGTTCTTATTCATGATAGTCATAAAGTATATCTTTAAGACAAAACATTTGGAAGGTTTCCAGGAAGAGTATAAAGTGGAAATCACGCTCCTACTGAAGTGTGTCTCCCTGTTCTTTCCTCAGATCCCCACTTTGTTGTTGTTTGAGCCTTTTGAAGTTATATTTTTGTTTTAATAAGCCTTTCCTTAAACTAAAATCAACTTCCTCATCCAGCCAATTCATAGAAAAATCAACTCTGCATTGTGGCAGCTGATTGATTTTTGTAATGTTGACATTTAGTTGGATACTAAAATAAAAAGAAATTTCAATCCATTAGTTGTATTTCTGTTTCAGTCTTAGACAGCACTGTCTATAGGTGAACCATCTTTCTCCACATTTTAGATTCTTAAGCCATAACTTAACTCAGGTGTTTCAGAAGAAACCCTAAACATTACGTGTGCTCCCCAGAGCACTTTCCCCCTCTCCTTCATTCCTGTTTGCTGTTCTCCCCATGGTAGTGTCCATGCATACCTGGCCTTGGAGAGCACAGGAATCAGTGGCCTTGCTCTTCAGTCTTGAATAGAATTTAAGAATTTCTATGTAATTTTTGTGATGGCATGTTTTAGTTGAATTGTTTGAATCTGAAGCTACTTTGATTAACTTGATTCCTTCAATGTATCTCTTGAACCTGATGTGTGGATGTTTATCTGGGCGGTGGTAGAAGGGGTACTGGGGGATTTCTGCCAGAGCCTGTAGCTAATATTATTCAATGAAGCACTCTGTAACCTGAATCTTCTTCCACTGCTGACATTACCTTGAAAGTGGCAGCTTTTCTGGTAAGCTGCTCAGAGAAGTGCCTGATACGTGTCTCAGAAGGAAAGAAACAAACCAGATCCAACACAGTGACTCAAGAGACACTGTTGATAAGCAAGTCCTGAAGTATAAATTTCCTGTTTATACTTACTACTTTTGTATTAAATATTTTTCTCAAAAATGTAGAAGTATAGCAATAAACAGAAAAATTGGCATATGCTGTACCAAAAATAGCCCAATGTCATTGCTGGGTAAGTCAGAGTACATTCTGTGTATGTATGAAAATGTCACAGTGAAACTCATTTTGGGGTTAGGGATGGAGCTTTGGTAGAATGTATGCATAGTGTATGTGAAACCTTGGGTTTGATTACCAGCTCACCAGTGTGATGGTGCCTATATTACCAGCACTCAGAAGTTCAAGGGCATCATCTGCTACATAGTGCGTTTAAGGTCAGCCTGGGCTATATAGGGAAGCCTGTCTCCCAATAAAGAAACCCATTATAGGGGGGGTTGGGAGAGGGCACGGGAGGAGGAGAGGGAAAGGGAGAGGGACCTGGAACTGACTTGTGAAGCAACCTTGTTTCTTATCTAAATTTAAACTGGAAAATAAAATTTTAAAAAAGCCATCTTTTCTTTCAAAAAAAAAAAGAAACCTATTATATTCTGCAGTTAATTCATGCTCATAAAAAGATGTTCCATTTCTAAAGAAACAGTGTAAAATTTATATTATTTTATATAGATCCATGAAAACATGAGTAATGCATGTTTTATAAATAGTCTTTAATCTCATTTTATTAATCTCATGTCTAACTTGTCTAGTGGGCTTCCTTGCTTAATTGTGTGCTTTATTTAAGATCTTTGCTTCTTAACTACTGGTACCTTTTATTTTCCCAATAAAAAGAGCACTTACCAGAACATACTATATTAAACATTTTAAATGTATAGCTGAACATTGCCAGGTGTATACAACAAGTCTGCAACTTCTTTGTCTTGTAAGACTGAACTTCTACACCCATCAAACAGTCTCCTCTTCTTCCAGAAACTACCATTTGTTTTTCTTTCTATTAATTTAACTACTCTAGTATGTACATAGATTCTCACAACATTTGTCTTTTTGTGTCTGGCCTCAATGTTTAATCCATGTTGTAGTATTTTAGTCTGTGCTGAAGTTTGCCTTTTTTGTAGGACTGAATAATATTCTATTGTATGGGCATACCACACTTTGTTTATCCATGTTTTTCTTCTGTTACAAACAAGATTATTTTACTTCTTGGCTGTTGTGAATAATGAATGAACAGGGTGTGTATATTTTTTCTTTGAGATCTTTCTACCATCCACAAGGACTTTTAATTTCTCTATATCCTTTACCTTTGTTAGAACTTATTTTGTGTTTTTATTCCAAGTAATAGCTATTTTAATAAGTGTGGAATAATTATGGCTTTGATATCTATTTTGCTAGTAATTAGTAATATTGAAGATCTTTTTAATGTGTTTTCTGACAATTCCATACTTTCCTTGGAGAAATGTCTCTTTAAAATCCTTTGGGCATTTTTTTAATTTGAGTATTTTTATTCTTTTAATAATTATATATATATATAATGTATCTTAATCATATCCACTTCAAGATTTTCCTCTCACTCCTCTAACAACATTCCCAACATGTACCCATCCAATCTTCATGACCTTTTTAAATATTTACCCACAGAATCAAATTAGTGCTACCTGCATGTGCCTGGGTTCTGGGCTGTCTTCCTGAGAAAGAATGATCCACAAGCCCCAAAGAAAAATTACTTTGCTTTCCCAAGTAGTCATCTACTGTCAGTAACTCCTCAACCAGGGTTGGGACCTCATAAGGCCCTCCAATCCATACTGAAGTGTTAACTGACTTGATCTTGGACAGGTAACTACAGCTGGTATGACTTCATGATATGCCATGTCACATCCAAAAGGCCGTATGTCTCAGCATTCCTCTTGTCATCTGGTTTTTATATTCTGTGTTCTCCTTTTTCTGTAATATTCCCTGAGACTGGAGAGGGAAAGTTTGATTGTCCCTTGTTGCTAATCTCAGTAATTTGACCAGCTTTGAGTCTGTGTATTAACCTCTGGTCAAGATTTAGAGAAACACTGATCTTTGGTTATAAACATAAATATTTGGGATACAGTTTAATGAAACAAAATATTAGCAAAAAATAGTAGTAGGTTCCCTAATGAACCTATGACCTGTCATGAGTATTTGACCAGCTGAGCAGTAACCAGACATGAATTCCCTCCGTTGGAGCAAGCCTTCAATGTAGACAGAAAGCAGTTGGTCACACAACAATCATACCACTGTTATACTAATGGGCGTATCTTGTCTCACATGCCATTATTGTGACACACATGTTCACTGTGGTTAAAGTGTAGTCAGAAGTTTTCCACTGGCTTGCCTAGTCCTACTGGACCAGTTTCTCTCCTCCCTGCTGGTCCCCACAGCCACTTACTAAATAATCATTTTGAGGCTTAATATTAATTTTAATTGTTTGGCCAATGGCTCAGGCATATTACTAGCTAGCTCTTACAACTTAAATTAAGCCATTTTTATTAATCTATGTATTGTCACATGGGTCATGATTTTTACTAGTCTGCAGACATGTTCCTTGGGTGGCTGAATGAAATCTCCTCAACTCCACCTTCTTTCTTTTTCCATCTTTGTGTGGATTTCCAACCTAGCTATATTCTGTCTTGTCATAGGCCAAAGCAGCTGTATTCATCAGCCAATAAAAGCAGCACATATTTGTAGCATACAGAAGGGCATCCCACATCAGGTAAGAAGATTGTTGGTGACTTTAATTTGCAATGAGCCTGTATCATACCTGCTGGTACAATGAAAGATATCCAGAAGGGAGAAAGTTTCAGGTTAGTTCCAGCTTGGTTTTTCTATTTCTAGCAACTAAAATATGTGATGTCTTCAACAATAGTTATAGTGACTTTTTCCCATTTTTAAACCTGGTTGTTTTTTCTTAGTTTGAATAATATTTTTACAAATTCTGGATATTAGTATCTTGTAAACTTATATGATATGAAAATAACTCTTACTGTCATTTGCCTTTTTATTATTGCCTTTGATTCACAGAAGTATTTAATTTTATATATTATCTCTTTTCATTACCTTTCATGTCATATCTGTTACATTTGGTTTTGATCATTTAGTCTTCACTATTTCTCTATGATACTAAGTACAAAATATAATAGAGAATCTAAAAATTAATTTTAAAAAGTTTTAGTATAGGTTAAAAGTTTGCAAAATGTTACAGTTTGAATTATATGTTGAAATAGATTATTGAAATGGGACAAAAAATGAAAATGGAGGCTGAGGAAAGCTGTCCTCACAGTGTCCTTTGAGTTTGTATCTTTGAGTGTCCACAGTGAGCTGATATGGAAATCCTTATAAGGAAATGGTCCTTTGCTGCCTTCCACACTC